CACCACCCCATTCCTCCCTTAGTCCCTATTCAAACCCCCAATAGTTTGAGGACCTGTCATCTTCGTTCGCGATGGACTGCCAAAAAGTCTCCAGGAGCAGGACTGGGCGGCCCTGGTGGGGGGGAGGGCCGCGGACCGGGCTGGGAAACCCTGAACTCCAGGACTTTCAGCACCCACAGGATGACAATGAGTAGGTGAACTGGACAATCTTGTGAAACAAAATTCATTTTATATCCTCATTTGGCACTTTTGCCATTTCTCACACTTTCCCAAGTTATTCACATGTTTCTGGAATTATGTTTTGCTGGAAAATTTTGAAATATGAATCATATTTTGTTTGTTATATTCAAAGTGATAAATGTGATATGTGTCTCAGTGGCTTCTGACGTGTTAAACTATCCCACTGAAATTTCAGATGTTTGAAGTTGATCCAGAAACCACTTTGCACATAATTTATTGGGTGAGAGAATGTAACAAATTATACAGCTTTAATTAATATACAGTAAGTGATTTAAAAATTATTTTAACACCATGATTTTGTATTTTAATGCCAAAGGAGACTTTTTTTTTTTGTCTTGCTGTGGCTCCATATATTAGTGTTCATCAAGAAATCTTTTCATTAAAGACTATGTGGTGAAAAGGAAATACAGGAAGCAGGTGACTTGGCCGAGGACGATGGCAGCTGCCACATCAGTCTTTGAGGACCGTCGGAGTGATCATCTTGTGGAAGTCATAGTATTTGCACTCAGCTGGAGGGACAATATCCAGCAGTGTGGTGCTGATCTTCTCTCGCTTGAAGCCTGCCTCGATCAGGTGAGGCACCTGGGTCTCCTGAAAGCAGAGGAGCGGCACAGAGCTCTTGTTGGCCTTACAGCGTGCGGTAAGACGTGAGGCACATGGGCTGGTTGCTTAGTGACGCACCTGGAACATGGTGTCGATGTTGCTGTATTTACTCTTCAGCTGCTCCCCCCAGGACGTCAGGTTGCAGTATGTGAGGACGCCGCCAGGCTTCAGCAGTCTGCAGGCATGCGACTGAAAAGACCGTCGTCTTTGTTTAGGCAAAAACTGACACTTAGATCTTACTATGGAAGCTGGTGACAAAAAATGTCACATTGCAAACAGACTTAATTCTAGCTTCTTAGAAGACGAATCAAGTGGGAGTGATTGTGGGGTTTCTGGAAATGCAAAGGTGATCCTGAATTGTCTGGAATGACAATGAGCGGCTCCTCTAATGGATTCCCAGAAATCCCCCTGGACTCCAAGCAGCTGCTGCATGCAGTGTGAAGCTTGCCTCTTGCCTCTTTCATTGTTTACTTCCCATTGGGATTACTGGGTGTTTCACGGTCCTGTCCTGACAGTTACTGTGTCCCACCCCTCAGGGTGTTATGGTGTAGAAAGCCTTCATTGTAAATTACAGAAGCAAACATTTAACTTCCTGAGGGATGTTTTGCTTTCTTGTAGCAAAGCAGACTATGCCAAAAAAGGAATTTGATAAGCTTTGAGCTGCTGCAAATATATAAGTAATTAATGTCATTACCTACAGCATATTATATTAAATATTACTCAGAAGTATTGTTGTCTTATTAAGTGTAAAGTCTGCAGGGTGTTTAATGGATACTGTGTAATGGTTTTCCTCAAAGACCAACTTATTTAAATTAGACTAGGGGTATTTCTTACAAATTACAGTTCAACTACAGAGGGTATGTCTGCTAAAAATGCTAATGTCCCTAAATGCTTGGAGGAATATTTAAAACACGTTTATCTTTTTATTTCATTATTTCTGCCTGCAGGCGCCACTTCATGCAAGTAACCTGATTAGATTCAGAAAAGTGTTTAAAAGACAAAACTTAAAATTACAGAAATCAGTTGTTACATTATTACACATGGGACTGAAAGTCACATTGTTTCATTATGATACAACCAGAAGGCAAGTCTGCGTCACTGCTTAGCATTCAGGTGAAGGCAGGCTTTGAATATGAAGGTCGCTCCGCCTCGGAATGCCACAGTATTAAAGTGGGCACTTAACCTGAAATGCTACACCTAAATATACAACTCTATTAATTGGTAAACTTTACAAAACTCAGTCTACATAGTATCATCAAAGCAGCTAAATAATGATTATAATAACGATGCTGTCAGAATTATCTATGTTTAATGACTTACCTTGATGAAGCTGAATTGGTGAGTGTGCCAGGTTTCTTCAGATAGTGGATAGGTATCATACAGAATGCCTGTATTTAAGCAGGTAGGATGATTAGTTTATTTAATAATAGCAGAACATTAATATGGTAAAGCTCTGATATGAATGTTTGATTTTCCTGCAAACTGTTAGTAAAATAGAGGCATAAGCTTCTTACCATCAAAGTGCCCATCAGGCAGTGTGGGGACCACATCCTCCCAGAGGCCTCTTAGAGGAACAATCTAAACATCCAGAAAGTAAATCCATCCATCCATCTTCCCACAGGCCATGTACCCATCACATACAGCCGGCAATTTCTCATCTTATTTATTTAACAGGAACAATGGACAGTTAGTAACTGTCCCACAGTTAGCTAGAGCAGGTAATACTACGACAGGCTAATTTTACAAAATAATGTACAGCAGAGTTAGAATTGCAGTGTCCAATACATAAACATCAGACAGAACAACACATAAAAGGGCACTATGCTTAACTTTAATGGTCACATGACTATCTTGATTTTAGCCATACAGTAGTTTCAGTTGTAATTTAAAATGGGTAAAATGTGAACTTTGCTCACTGTTGGGGATAGAGTTCCAAATATTTGCAGCTCTAATGTAGAGAGACCCATTTGCCTAACTTTGCTAACAGCACGTTTCTGGAGTACCGGGGCAAACGTATATGATGAGGGGATAATATGCAAGCTCTGTACATGGTAGGAGTGGGATTAAACTCCGGGAAGTGAGGTGACAGTCTGAGCCACCTTTGTGCCTGCAAAATAAATCTGCTGGCGGTGACATCGTGGTGCAACTCTAACCATGTTCACCTTGTGTGGCTGCTCCTTCGCCCATTGCTGCAGTCTCTGGAAAACACCATCGTTGCACTCTATGATCCAGTGTTCCTCGATGGGGAAGGACTCTATTTTAGTGGCGGCGATGGCCATGCCGAAGCCGATCTCAAGAACCCGGCCACCTGGGTGACGAAATAAAAACAGCATTCTCTGCACTCCATCGTTTCTGAAATATGAACTTTTCATTGGATTCATTGGCACATTTTGCTTCTCCACATTCTGAAATTGTTCATTCACAATAACATCTAAAAAAAAACGAAGAGATCTGTAAAGCATTTATGACTGATAGTGTAATACCAGTGGGGAAGGAACAGGTTGTAGCATTTGATTAACTAGACCACGGAATACCAGAGAGTAGCCTTACAGTGAGGTGTAAATATAGACTGAGCTGGGAGAAGGAGTGCCCTGCCCATAAATGTCTGCTGCAGTCAATCTTACTGCGGAACTTTTTACCCGAGGTCACTAAATGCACTAACCCTACTTCAGAGACTTCAGTATTAGCAGTAACGTATTACCCTGTAGAAACTGCCACTTCAAATGCGTCTTTAAAAACAGATATTGTACCATGTTGTAACTAATAATTCTCAGCAGTAATAGCACTTATCTAATGGTATGCAGTCTTTAAATTCAAACGACCTGTTATCTATACATTCGTTGAACTATAGACTGGGGGATCAAATATCATATAGATTACCTATAATCCGAAATAACCCCACCCCCGCCTGGTAACTTTCAGCGCTGCCCAAATTATTCACTGGTACTCTGAGGACATTTATTGATCTATTCAGTAATTCACTTAAACCAATGTGGGGTTAAAACTGTACTGACGTTGGAATAAGACGGTAACATATTTCATCCTAATTTTAAAACAGTTATGGAAGTCAACCAGACGCTGGAAGATTTCACACCTCTTTATTACAACGCAAAATGACCCTATTTCATTTGTTGCTTACTACTACAGCTTGCCGTGTTTCAAATTACTGCTGAACTCTTTGCCGTATGCATCTTCGTTCTTTAACACGTGCAGTACAGATTCGGCATTAAGGCTTTAAAGTATGACAGACAGATAAAGGAAAAATATTGTGAGGGTCAGTTTCAATTATCTATCAGCATGTAATTTAACTGTGTGCAACCTGTAAGAGTACCTTTGGAAGCGGCCACAGTGGCCAGCTCGTGCATGTACGGAGTCTCCCAGCGCTCCATCACCGGTTTGCCCATAATCTCGAGGTGAGTGTCGGTCTCATTGTAGGCAGCATTCGCTTCCGTCCAAACCGGCTTGCAGTTCTCTCCCTTGGAAAATATGGGCTGTGCTGTAGCCATTGTTAAACCCACCGAAAATAAATTAAGCTTCTTCGAAAAGGCCAAAGCAAAAAGATAGGGAGACGAATGAAAGGAAACGCGTTTGCAGCTCGGAGCACCGAAAGAAGGACTGTTCAAAGGCCGCAACAATTTATAAGTGAGCAGAAGTGCTGATCTTGCAAGAACCTTTACTAAAGTAAATAAGGTATGCTTCAACCAATTGATAATTCTTCTTAGTTAAGAGAGAACGCGTGACGGCAACAGTTTGTCGCACACGTGTTTTTTTCACATGTCGCTTAGCTCCACCTCCCGATTCCAAAAGTTGTGGTAGAGTAAGGTCCACGCGGGTATAGGGAATGCTGCCACTTTAAACGAAAAACTGCTACATGTGCATTTAACATACATCACAGTGAATGTTATTATAATGCCGTTGAAATATTAATATTTTTAGAAGTACTTGCGACCGATTAACGCCAGTTCAACATTGTGAAACGAACGGACGTGCACTTTAACACCAAGCAAGTTTTCTTATCGTACTTGAGTCAATAACTAAGTTACTAAGCCTGTCACAAAGAGAAATGGTTCCTTTAGCGGTAAAGTTTGTAATACATACACAAGCAGCATGTGTATGTGATTCCAGCTTCAGTTTGGTTTCTCATTCAAAAGAATACTATTATATTATATTATATTATATACTATTATATATATTATATTAATATATATATTATATTAATTACTATCCCAACAGTAACTACAAAGCTACAAAGCACATAATTATGCAGCACATAATTCGTATCCTCTCGGCTTCAAGTTCAAAAGTTGCCAGTGATAATACGTGAGATTCCAAAGAGCCCCATAAGAGGACGCTGTTTATACTGTTATAATTTGGTATTCAGCCACTGCCGACATTCACCAATCCGCCAGATTATGGGCATAAGGCTGTTTAGCATAGTGACACTGGCTGAAATAGAATTTCGGTGAAAAAAAAAATGGATAAGGAAGGTAATAAGAGCGTTAACAAAGAATTTCAAGACACGTAAAGCATTTATTTTGGCGGGGTATACAGAAATATATCAATAAATGAGTAACTCAACAAAACGGTACAGCCAGCCGGGTGTCAATGAATAGTTCAGCATATATGAGAAGTAGAGTATTGTGACTTAAACCTCTATTGTTCAATGAATCATTAAATAATAATAGTTGTTTTTATATTAGACATATATGAATATATTTTCCCAATTCCCCCATTTAAATAAAATTCAGAAACCCTGTATTTATGAGCTGATTTGCCATTGCTGAGTTTCTGATGAGGTTCTGAGAAGTCATGGTTACCTCCTTTAGAGTGTAATTAAACAGTGTCCCATATTAGGCATATTATTTAGTTATAATGTCTTTTTAAATAATATATGAAAAGCAGTTTTCTGGGCTCAGATGGCTGTTTTTGTACCAGAACACTTTGAAACAAAACACATTGTCTTTATTAATCCATTTTTACATTGCCAAATTAAGAAAACAAATGCTTTTGTATTACTGACTGTGTGGGTGTTTTTAATCTATGTTTTTATGTTCTCCTAAGACGTTAAGTCACCTTTATTCTGAATCATCCTGTGCCAGGAAGCTGATTAGATAATCTGGTATTTTTCCTCTCTAAAGGGAACTTGGTCATAGACTTGGAAATTGTTGAGCAGAGCTTGTTTGTAGATGAATGAGTACTATGTTGCCCAGTTCACCCTTTCTAACAGAATTACCAGCGTTATAGCAGGTGACTCAGGCCATTTAAGGAGCTGCGTTGGATTCTGAAATAAGATTCCGGAAAGCAGTCTGACTTGATCCCACTGGCTGATGAAGTATGAAGATGTTCAAGTATTGCATCACATAATTGTTGTTTTAATTTAACAGAACCCCCTCCAATCTGCAAGAAAAAAAGACATTATAAGGCACCAGTGTTTGAGTTGATGTAATACTTCTTTTAGGGCTGGGGGCAAAAATTGGCTGCTTTGAACTTGTCACCTATTAGCCAGTTGTTGTGGAAAAAACAGTGAAAATATACAAAGAAAAGATTTTGGTTTTATGCAACTATACCCAGTAACATTACACAATAATATTTTTTTGTGTGTAAACCAAAAAATGAATGCAGATTTGTGTAAATGTAGAATCATAAACGCGTGAGGTATGGAATGACAGAAATAACTCTAATATAACCTGATTAACAGTGTGTTGGGAGCAGGAAGACGCCACACCTCCGCATTCCTGCCGGGCAGCTCCACTGGACTGAGTTCTCTTAACCAAAATAGGATAAACTGCTGCTGGTTAAACTATCTAAGCCACGTACTCTAAGGGCAACGGAGACACTCACTGGCTTTTCTGTCTCGTCCTGTATGATTATCACAAAGAATATTCATTTTGTAATATCACTTTGGAAACATAAAATCAGGTGCAATCAGCAGAAACCAGACATCAATTTAGAACCTATAGCAAGGAGAAATTATTAAAATATTACATGAGCTATGGTGGAGTATTAAAAACCTTTGATGTGCTGCTCCTTAACTGTTCCTGGATTTAATACAGTGCACATTTAGTCAACTGTGACTTCAGCATATATAGTCCTACACTTTTTTGTATTTTTTTCATATATTAATTTAAGTTTGAAACATGTTTTCGGCTATTTGGGGACGTTATTCTTGCTGGTTTGGCAGTCATAACAAAAACAATATTCGGCAGTTCTTGTTACCTCTCAATAAAAAGTACAAGTGTGCAATGTCTCATAGTATTTGTGTCATTTGTATTTCATAAATTTTATCTACCAATCGCAAATGTATGTCGAAATAGAAATGAAATAGAGTACTGTGCAATGACAGTAACATTTTTCTAAGCGTACCAATTTTGAAATAAGCGTATATGTCACATCCTGTTCCCTTTCTACGAATCGAATACTTACTTCTCTCATATTGTATACGTACCCATTAAATGGCCTATGTATTAAGCGAAACACATGTGACAGATGAAACTCTCTAAAATGTTTTTTGAGAACAGTTGTCTGGGGCAATGTCAAATAGGAGTGTAACATACGATATGCAAGAAACGGCCATTGAAATGTCGATTTCCAAATAACAATATGGTGGTTAAATGTGTGGTTTAACAAATCTCCAACCATACTTCTTGTTTTTTCATTATAATGCCGAAATTGTTTACATGGTTTGAAGACAGATTGTACCTGACCAATGCCAGTAGAATGTATTTTAGATTCGATATTAAACACACTGCCACCCCGTAGTGGAGTTCACATAGTAAGCGAGAAATAGGCGCTGCTGTCCCTTAAAATGCTAACACTTCGAGTAAAACGAACGAGGGGGATCAAAAAGTAAAATAAAACGATGCACAAATCCAACAAACGAAAGTAGCGACTTATTCAGCTGTGAGTGAAACTACAATTCCCATGAAGCACCTCCGGCACGTTCGCATAATTTATTTATATATCTAACTTCTGCCCCCTGCAGAGGGGACCCCGTGGCAATCGCGTCGCTGTTGCGCAGATTCAGTTTGAACCTGGAGCGGAGTGACCTTCCCGGTGTAGTTAGAGAGAGTTAACACTTCGCTAGAGCGGACCGGTGGTCGTGTCACTTTCAGTTGCACCGCCAAGCAGAAATGAACAACAATTTAGCCGGAGATGAGATCGGGTAAGGTGAAGGAGCGCACTTGGGAGTGTGGGCTTTAATCGTGCTTGTGAAGGCGTGTAGGTGAAGCAGGCATATTGTGAAGGTGCACGTTTGCGGTTGTGTGTGTAGCTGCCTTTATAGCCGTATGCATGGGTGCTTTGACAGCTCATCTAATACTGATGCTGTTAGCTCTCTGCTAACTAACTAGCAGCCGGCCTGCGCAGGGACCTCACAGTTTCCTGGGACGAGGGATCCTGTAGGTGGCGAGGAAGGTTAAAAAACACCACCGAAAACGACCGATTCTGTCAGGTCTGCTGTCTAAAGGTTGTCTACCACATGAAGCCCAATGGAAAGTTTTCGTTTTCGGTTTTGATATTTCTTTTCATACAGAACTTGTTTTCTTTTTTTCTATGTATCCCCCAATGTCAAAGTAGCGATGTGAAGCCCGTCGCGGTAACTTAGGCACTCTCGGGCGTTAAACAGTGCAGCTAGCGCCGCCGAAGTGCTAATGTTCCCCTGCAGAAGATCAAATGCAAGGAGCTATAACATCATCCCCGGGGGCTGAGCAGACGTGCCGGCTTGCCTTCGACTTTTTGTCGCTGTTGTCACCCCTGTCATTGTTCCCCGCATTCATGGTTTGACTTGGCGGTGTTTGTTTCGTTTCGACTCCAGTCAACCTTGAGTCTTTAGTCCGCCAAACCTCCGAGAAAATGCCCCCATCCCGGTGATGGTTGACATTACTGTGGCCAACCGCCGGCTTTTCGCTAAAGGGTAATAAGTCAAACTAGTTTAAGTTTGTTGGCGGGACCGTAGTCACGGTAATGTCGACGGATGTTCGCTTTTAGCTGCCAGATATTTCAGGTGACAGCGCTTCACGCGACTGCAGCTCGGCAGCCTTTCGCAACGTCCACGTCCAACTGATTAGTTATTAATCCCAAAGCCACATAGCTTAATTGGAATAGCGGACTTTCTTTTTCTTAAACTGTGTTTTTTAACCGAGCTATCTAAGATGAGCAGGCTGATGCTGGCGGCGCTGACGTTAGCTGTGGAGAGTATCGACAGGCGGCCGGCGAGCGATAAATCGAGCACTTAAAATCCACCTCGGGAGGGAGGGAGGGGGGGTGTGGAGAAAATAAACATTTACACGAGCCAAACAATGAAATACTTTTCATTGTTTTATACACTTTGCATACGTAATTAGTTAATACTGGACACGTGGCAAAATGTCTTAATAGGACTTCTGTTGAGCCAAAGACGGGATGTCTTTGTGCGAGGATATTATTGAGCAGGTAAACACTTTTTGCTCAGCATACATGTTTTTAATGCTTTTAGATCTTTTCCTGTCGGGGAATTAAAACCAAAATTTAGTGGTTAAATATATAGATCAGTGCATGGTTTTTGTCTTTAGCTGTAAAGCCGCTTCGGTTTACTTTCAGTTTTAACTGTTTAGGTTGTAGTAGCAGTATATTCATTTTTCGACCTACAGATACATGCTGGAGATCAGCTTATAAAAAACAGTAAACCACTAGTGTCTTGGGGTACCAGGAATGCCAGACTAGTACTAAAGAAAAAAATTAAATCAAGGTTTTAATGGCAGAAAAGCAGCACAAGTTTGTTCCCAAGACCAGGATTGGAAACTAATCATAAACCCGGCCCCTAGGCTTTTGATATTCACCGATTCTAGGTATGACATTGGTAAAGCATATAATCGAAAACTAGAATTATGTAAATGTTGCAAAGAATTTGGTGACTTTCAGCTGTTCGACAGGACAAATTTACTGCAGAAGAATGCAGTAGCATCATAATATAATTTAATGTAACACTCTCACTGAAGGACACACTGTGCATGTATCTACCAAATTGATAATTTCATTGCAAGAAACTGAGGATACATTGCATACCAGTGGCTCAAGTGTTCAGACACATCACTGTAATGTAAAATTACATTTTTTGTATAGAAATATAAATTGTCATGCAGTCATTTTGATTTAGGTGGGTTGTGCTTTTTAATTGTGTTCTTCTCAGGGGTAGAATCGGACATAATAAAATTACCTTAACGTTAGTCCAAGAGGTATCGGCTAGATAAATTGCTATGACCCCCCCACCTCAACTTAATGTTGTCATTTTTCAGGTATGTCCTTACCCGCTCCTAAATGTCATATGAAATATAGTAAGGTCTTCTTACTATGGAACATGTCAGCAAGGTGAAAATGCTTCACTATGTGCTGATTATTTCTCTTTTTTAGGAAGCTCTTTGTGGGTGGATTGGACTGGAGTACCACACAGGGTAAGTTCACCATATACGTTTCGATTTGTCACTTAAAAAAAAGAATGTAACCTCAAATCATCAAATGTCCAACTTTTACTATCAGTGGGTCTTTGGGAGTCAAATGAACAACATATGCTGGGCTCATCTGGAACAATCTATGCCTAGCAAGAAGATAACTATTAGCATAGAGATCTGCATTAGCTGCAAATGAAACTTCCCAAAAAATCTTTTCAGCTTTTGTTGCACTTTTCTCCACCTGCCGTGGTAGGTCATGGTTTTTTTATTTTACACATTTGACAGTTTTTACTCCTGTTTGCCTTTGCACATGTTCTTTGCTCAGCACCCTTTGCTCATCTTACAATTTGGCAAAATTAGGGTTTTTAAGAAGGTACAGATGCATCTTTGTTTTACAGCGATCACTCCACACATTGACTTTATGTTTCCTTGTTTTGGTAACCAGTTACCTTCTTAAATCTGTTGTCCTTGTCTTCCTGCATGTTTATATTGTTGCTACCGCGCTATTGAGGTTTGAGTTAACGTCTTACTATGGATTTTACTGTTCATCGGTCAGTAGTTTTTATAATCTCTGCAGATGTCATCCTGCATCAAAAAAACAGGAAGAATAAACAAATCTTAAATTTTCTTAAACACGTTTGGCATATTAAGCTGTGCTTTATCAGGAAAATTTCTTCGGGATGACAGATTTTTTACACTTTCCGAACCACAGGTTATAGCTTCTATTTGAAATGAATGAAAGCTGTTCAGATTCTTAATGCTGCTTCATTGAAATATGTGGAACACCCTGAGTCATGCAATGGGACTTATATTACACAGGCCAAACTAGAACAGCATTTACTAAGTGATCCGATAATAAGTTTGTACACAATGTCCCCTAGAGAAACGGGCTGGAATTCCTCTAAGAAACTGAAAAGATCTGTAGATCAGTTGTGTTCATGGGATCTTGCACCATAAACAAAGTGGTTGAAAAACAAATCTAATAGAACACTGTATGTTTGCAATAAATTGTTTTCAAAATCTAAGCGCACACTCTAGATGTCAGGCTTTTTGTCACGCCTGGCAATGCATCATCATCCACTAACCCATATGTCTTTTTTCCTACCAGAGACATTACGGAACTATTTCTCTCAGTATGGGGAAGTAGTTGACTGTGTCATAATGAAAGACAAAACTACAAATCAGTCACGGGGTTTTGGGTTTGTCAAGTTTAAGGACCCAAACTGCGTTCGGACAGTGCTGGAGACGAAGCCTCATAACCTGGATGGTAGAAACGTGAGTATGGGGCCTGGACAGGCACATCCATCAGACCTGGAGGAAGCAAACTGTCATGTAGTCTGTTAAAGTGAGCAGTATTGTGACTGTCATCACCTGGCTGCTAAAGATGCTGCTGTCTTGCCGTCAGATCGACCCAAAGCCATGCACCCCCCGAGGAATGCAACCCGAAAAGACCCGCTCAAAGGACGGCTGGGTAAGCTGGGCTTTAGGGCTGCCTGTTTCCTTTGGAAGTCATCAGATGTTCTCCACCCATCCTTGTGCTGGTCTTACTGAAAAGTGCAAGCTGGAATGATCCTGTCCATGCGTAGAAATATGAACTATAATGCCGTCATTGTGATTTAACTTGGATGTGCTTTTTATTTGTGTGCTTCTCAGGGGTAGAATTGGACGTAATAAAATTAGTATCGGCTAGATAAGTTGATATGACCCCCCTCTTAATTTAATGATAATTTTTTTTAAAGGAAATTCATTCCTTTTTCCAAAAAAGTCGTTAATGAGGATTTTATAAGATCTTCAAAAAATGTATAAAAATGTTATTAAATCTTAAATATGATAGATGCAGTAGTGTCTGGAGGAACTGATGATTAACTCCGTAACTAATGTAAGTGGCAGGTTGGTTGTTTTGTTGAATTGTGTGACTAGCTGAATCTGTGGAATGATTAACTACACATGCAAGGTAAAAGTTTGATTTTTGAAGTTTGTTTGGTGACGTGAGCACTTGGGAACCAGGGTCAAGTGCTGCCCATTCTGCTTCAAAGCCAATCATTTTTATATATATATTTGTATTAAATTCCTGAGGACAATCACTTTAGGTAGACTGTTAAAACATTTTACAGATAATTTTACTTAAATGCTTCAACCCAATTATTAAGTAGTTTTAAGCATCAGTTGTCAGTTTAATTGAACAGCCATCCTTAAATCATTAAGTTTTTTTAAATGTAACTACAGTATTTACAAATCACTGTCTGGGGATAATTTTGTGTGGAATTGCATAGTACTTAAAAGTTGCAGTTTTACGAAGCTCTGTAGGAAACATAAATGCGATTTCTGGTCGTGGTCACATGTTTGCATTCGCCCAGGACACCTTAGAGCTGCACTTAAAAATAAAATTGAAAAAACTCGGGATTTTGACAATGTATTTTATTTATTGGCGTGTGTTTGTGTTTTTTGTTTTTTTTTGCAGAAAGGTAGCAAAGCTGATAGCAATAAATCTAAGAAGATCTTTGTGGGTGGAATTCCTCACAACTGTGGTGAACCTGAACTCAGGGACTATTTCAGTAGATTTGGAGTGGTGAGTCGCTAACATTTGACTTAAAGGTAGCGCAGCGCAAATGTTAAAATGATTGCGTCAAAGGAGTGCTTATGCCCAGCTTATAATGCATCCCACCTGCCAATCTATATCATTCTTACCCTCTTTTTTTTTTTTTTTTTGTCTGGTTTTTAGGTTACAGAAGTAGTAATGATCTATGACGCGGAGAAACAAAGGCCTCGAGGTAAAAGCTGATCCACTTTTTCTCCCATAACCTCCCTCTGCAATCTCATGACAAACTATTCTGACCCAAAGAGGAGCCGCGTATCCGACGCCCATCCTCTGTCTGTGTGCCCGGTGTCCGCGTGTGCTCTCTTGGGATGCGACATGCTCACAGTTCGCTCACTTTGATCGCTCTGGGATGCTGCTGGCCCTTACCACTGTGCAGTCCCCTCCTCCTTCACGGAGGAATTCACATGGTAAGGCGTGTCACCAGCAGGATCGCATATGCATTCCATCGTCTGTATCTGGTCGCTGTGTTGCATGAGTCGCTTCCAGGTGCTCGTAGTGTCCCCGATGCTTAAGGAATAAAGTAATGGCTTCTAAAATTGTCCTTCATTATTTTCAATTTAATTTGAACTGTATTGCCTGTTAGCAAGATTGAGCTATATTGTTATGCTGACTCTAATTAGTATTTTAAAACACTTGCTTGAATTAATTGGCATATATAATTTAAACGCATTCCTTTACATTAACAGATGTTGAATTGATTGTAAAAGGATTCTTAGTACAATCAATGTAGCAAGGCTGTCCAACACAGAGTAGCATACAGGATATTGACTCCAAATTTAACTGGGAATTTGTGTCGTATTTAATGCCATTTTGTTGCAAAACGACAGAAAGCGGTAAATTGAGATTCCCTGATATACATTTTGGATGAAAGGTTAACCGGGATTGTTCTTGGGGCCTTTCCTGCAGAATGGCGTTGTGTAGCTGCAGTTCCCCTTGACAACGGAGCGCTTCTTTCTTGTTGTTTAATTTGCTACAAACTCTTTGGGCAGGAAAATAGTTTGTCATCTGACTCTTTGTAATGCAGTGTTAGAATCCATGTGCTCTCTTTGATTTCTATTGTTAATTTTCTCATAATGAAAGCTCATTTTTTCACATTAAGTTTTATTTTAATTAAGACTTTGCAATACCTGATATTTTAAGTGTTTTCCCATATTTAAATGATTAAGTGCTTCTGTAAGTAAGCCCCTTGTCTTTCTTTCTTTTTCTGTCCTCTCTCCCTGTGAATTGTTTGAATGTGATTAACGGTGTCTTTTAAGATTTGTCTCTTCTCCTCTAGGTTCTTTGTACCACGTTGTACCACAGAGGTATAGGCCAGTTGTAATTCGGACATGCAATGGCCCAGTTAGCTTCTCATTTGGGGTGCAAACACAGTTCTCTCACACTGAAATGATACGTTTTCTGACCTTCTGTTGCCAACACAAGGCAGTTAATTAGCTCTTTTAATAGTTTCAAGCTATAATTTAAACGTATCAATTTAAATTTTACCAGTTTATACATATTCCAAAGGTTTTCTTTCTCTAAATATAGCTGCACATTTTAAGTGCAGAGGGCAAATATTTTTAGGAAGACCTTTTTTTGGACCAGGCAGATGGAGCTTGCTTTTCCCGATATTAGTGATTTCACATAATTCCCTTGCTTCCTAGAGAGCATTTAATTTAAATCAGGTTAGCTCCCCAAGTGAAGATGTTGTCACAACCTACTTTTGCTGGTCTTGTACCAGAAAGAAACTGGTTCAGTTGTTTCTGAGCTGCTGTACGTCCTCGAACTTGTAAAGTGGGTTTCATGTTGGCTGTGACCTGGATGGTCGGTTTTACTCGTCCTCCAGAAAGCTATGAAGGAAAAAGTGGCATTTTAGGGTTATTCCTATGGAAGTGATTTAAAATGAACAAGGGGAAAAAAAAATCTAATCTAATGTGAAATTTCCCACCATGTAGACAATCTTTTGTCCCCTGGCTCCTGAAGAATGATCCTTAAGGGCCCCCAGAAGATCGCCATGAACCTGGCATGGTGTCCTTCCCATTGAGCTATATTTAACATTCTTTAATCGACTTTACATCAGTCAGCTGCAGGTCCCCTGTGGAGTAGGTGCTGCATGACAGTTCTTTGCAAAAGCAATGTATTAAGGAAATGCTTTAGAAGCTGCTTTACTAATGTGAAGAGTTCAGACACTTTACATGGTATTAATATTTATTTCTAAAGCTTGATGTGAGTTTTTATTTAGCCCTTGAGGACCCCCGTGTTCTCACGTTGCCATCGTCTGCGTTTTGATTTTTCTTATAAGTTCTCTTGCTTTTATAGACAGAACTATGGTTACACCCCTCATGATGTTGATTTTGCAAACACCTGTGGCTGTACAAATTGAAATTCAATCTTAAAAAGGCCTATATCTGTGTGTCTTTATAAAAATGTATTTAATTTCATTTTAAGCTTGTCTTGGCTTGCCCAAAAGAAGAAAGTCATTGGGAAAGCTTGGAGACAGCTCTGAGCATTAGAAAAAAGTTCTGTTCACATTTTTGTTGTTCATTAAGAATGGCTGCTGTCAGCGTTTTCTGTAAAGCAATCAAATACACCAAGGGGAAAATCAAGGTGGGACTGGCTGCGGCCACATGGACAGTCATGGAAATACTCCCTCTAATGTTTATGTGTGTCTTGTCTGCTCTCAGAGCAAATCTCTGGCTGTTTCTGTGCTTTAAATGCACTTAATCAGCCAGTTCTTTGAATTCTGCCTTGGTTTTCAGCATTATTGATCCTGCCATATATCGAGCTGTTGCTTTTGCAATAATGTACTAACTTACATCACCTCTTAACAAACAAGGAAGTGCCCTTGTTCCCAATAGGTAACTAGGCTCTGTATGTACAAGGTGGAACGTATGTGTGCCAGTGTTGTCCTTCAGTCCTGGCCTATCAGATTGTGTTCTCCTTCAGTCCTGGCCTATAAGATTGTGTTCTCCTTCAGTCCTGGCCTATCAGATTGTGTTGTGCTGCAGGTCTGCAACATTATCTGACCCCCAGGTGCCTCCAGGCCTTGATGAACCCCTTGGGCTGCCCCCTCCGATACTGTTCTTCATCTTGTTTTGTCACAACGCCTTGCTACCTTGATTTACTCTTGGTCGTTGGCTAGGTTTTGGATTTATTACTTTCGAGGCCGAACAATCAGTGGACCAGGCTGTCAACATGCATTTTCACGACATCATGGGCAAAAAAGTGTGTAGTTGTAGTTTTATTTTACCCTTCAGACCAAACTGAGGCTTGGGCGATGGGGAAAGTTGGAGACGGTTCTCACCTCTGCAGACGTTTCTATTTCTAGGGGCAACCAGTGACCTTGGAGACTTTATAAGGCATCAGGCTTCTTTCAATGGGACTCCTGACCATCCCATGCTGATCTTCTGCATCAGCTTCTACTCTACTATCACCTTTTTCTACCAATCCTCATTTTGCTATAACAAAATCTTCTAATAAAAGTAGACGTGAAATAGTTTGTCAAACACAAGGGAGGGAATATTCAGTAGAAGATAAAACTTAAATGATCAATATAACATATATTGAGAAGAATTTTGGGTTTTCCAGTCTGTCTGGTTTCCCCTTTGAAATATTGCATTTACAACTTCTATAGTCGCCCAAGGCTTGGCTTAATTGAACCACTCCTTTAGGATTCTAAATTATATTTTGTCTTTGATTCGTATAAGTAAAACATGAAATCAGTGAGGTTTGTTTCACTGTCTATCGAACAGGAAATGGGTTATACAAAACTGCCATCCTAAAGGACTGGTTTACTGTTTTGATTTTTGCTTTTTTTCATATATTAATTTTTTTGCCAGGTCACTTATTGTTTGAGTTCTACAAAAGATTTGTTTTAAGAAGTTAAATGGATAAAAAGTAATTTTTTTTACCTCAATTAAGTGACCTTAAGTTGGGTAATCTTCATACTGTGTCGACCACTTAGCTTTCATAAATTAAATCAGTGTATTAACCAGTTTTTATTTGAATTATGAACTGTGCATAGAGGTGAATCTGAACTCAAAGATTGGCATTATTGTGCTTTAATGCCAGGAGCAGATTTTATGAATGCCCCCTCATCCCTAAGCTGTAATGAACTGTAACATATGATGTTATTAATGATTAATGATTCTCCGCTTGCCTTCTTTCGCATGCATGCTCAGGGTTTGTTACAGAATTAATAATCCATTGTGCATAGTATGTCAGGCTACTTTCTCAATAGAAGTTAAACGAGTATCTCTTCAGTTTTCTATTTACATAAATCTATACAAAGTATTCATTTATATCTGCAAATCTTCTCTGACTGGTACGTCTCTTTGGGTTCAGTCAGGTGTTTCGCTGTATCATCAAATTACAAATCTACAGTTCTGCAAAAAGAGTATTTACACTTAAGACCATGTATCACTTTTAATTCAATTGATGAAATGATTGACAGTGGCTTAAAACATGGCAGAATAGGAGGAGCGAAATTATGCACCTAAAACCTGGTATGTTCCTTCCCCCGCTTCCCAAAAACCTGATATGTTCCTTTCCACGCTCCTCAAAAACATGATATGTTTCTTTCCCCCTCCTCAAAAACCTGATATGTTCGTTCCCTCGCTCCCCAAAACCCCTGGTATGTTCCTTCCCCCGCTCCCCAAAACCCTGGTATGTTCCTTCCCCCGCTCCCCTAAAACCTAGTATGTTCCTTCCCCCGCTCTCCAAAAACCTGGTATGTTCCTTCCCCCGCTCCCCAAAAACCTGGTATGTTCCTTCCCCTGCTCCCCAAAACCCTGGTATGTTCCTTCCCCCGCTCCTCTAAAACCTGGTATGTTCCTTTCCCCGCTCCCCAAAAACCTGGTATGTTCCGTCCCCTGCTCCCCAAAAACCTGGTATGTTCCTTCCCCCGCTCCCCAAAAAACCTGGTATGTTCCTTCCCCCGCTCCCCTAAACCCTGGTATGTTCCTTCCCCTGCTCCCCTAAACCCTGGTATGTTCCTTCCCCCGCTCCCCACAGTCTCCTTGGCTGTGCCCTGTTTTCCAGGAGGAATCGGGACTCTACCTAAGCCATTGTTCTTGATTTGACATTACCTTGAGCTAGGACTTAAGGGGAGTGTTTTTTAAAGGTATAAAATTAGAAACTAGAGCACATCAATCTGTACCCCTGCTTTGGAATTGGGTAGGTGAGTGGGGGGCTTTTTAAGTCCTGGAATCCATCATTGGGTTGCCGCGATGCCTTAGGGAGGGGCCCAGGTAGTTGGTCTCTGGGCTTTTGGCCACGTGCCTAAGCATGTGTTGCTAAGTAGGTCAGCGGAGGGAAGGGGAGAGGCAAAGGGGGTCACCATGTTTTACCTACTTTAAGGCAAAAAATAAAATTCTGAGTCGTTTTCCCTCATGCTGAAGGTGACCCCAATAACTCATCCTCTTTGGAGGATCGTCTATTTCTGTCTGATTTTTTCCCCCCTTCTCTGTCCTGGTTAACTTGGTATTTCTGTATCAGGGAACTTCAGATGATTTATTAAAAAAAAACCTCAAAACTCAGAACAGCTGAAGGTCAGGAACTATATCTGTGAACTAGATTCAGATGCTTCACAAAAAGGCTAAATATTCTTAAGTCTTTGTAGAGTTTATTTTTTGCAAATGAGTATTTTCCATGTTTTTGACACAGTATGAAGATTCCAGTTTAACTTAAAATGTCCATTTGTATTCTATGCATGTGTATATCGTTCTTGTAAATAGTTCTATAAGGCTTTTGTACAACATTCGTTTTGCTGCTGAAATTTTACTCTAAAGTTATACAAAAGAGATTCTTTAAGCGTTAGCCTGGGAAAGGTAAGTCTTATTCTTCCATTAGATGCTTTTATCAGAATTAAAAGGGCCAAGGTTCAAACAGAAAAAAAACTGGGAGTTCTGTGTTTCTCAGGTACAACTGTATTTGGGAATCCAAAAGGAAAGTAAACTGCTTTTAAAATGGCAAAGAATGTAAATTAGTCTTTAGCAAGCAGAATCGAAAGATCTGAAATTAGTTGATTTTTAATTAAGTACCTGAGAAACATTAAAAGCAGCCTTTATCTAAAACGTATGTAATTATATTTGCCATTGTACGTTAGATATACAGGCCCAAATAGATTCAAAATTTAATGCTCTTTTTAGTTGCTTAAAGTTATTAGAAGTATTTTTGAGTGCTGTTACTCTTAATGTGATCTGGCTGGGGAAAGTTACTGTTTTTTAAAGGCTTGCCTTGCCAATTGCTCCCTCGCTGTCCTGTCACCCAGGTTGAGGTGAAGAAGGCTGAACCCCGTGACAGCAAAGTCCCTGGTCTTGGACAGCCTGGAGCTGGCCAATGGGGGCCCAGGGGTATCCTAACCACAGCCAATGGCTGGGCAGCCCAGCCGACCCAGGGCTGGCAGCAGAGTTATGGGCCTCAGGGTGAGCACAGCTCAATTTGTTTAACACATTAAAAGCAGTTAAGGGCATACCGAGTGCAGCATGCAGGTACAGAGCACACTGCAGGTACAGATCACACTGCAGGTACATAGCACACTGCAGGTACAGATCACACTGCTCGCAGACTGCAGGTACAGATCACACTGCGTATGCACTGCAGGTACAGACGACACTGCGCACACACTGCAGGTACATAGCACACCGCAGGTACAGATCACACTGCTCACAGACTGCAGGTACAGATAACACTGCGCACACACTCTAGGTACAGATCACACTGCGCGCACACTGTACTGAATGCGGCGCTAATGAAATGCAGTTTTCATTTAGCTTTAATAAATCAGTGATGTTAAAAAATAAAAATAAAAATCATGATAGATGTATGGTTAATCCACTTTGCTGATTTAGTTCATTGTATTTTTCTTTTTTTTTTTAAGGAGTTTGGGTCTCCACGGGCCAGCCGATTGGTATGTGTCATGCAGCTTCCCGTGGATGTAATCAATAAGATGTGGTCTCGTGTGCTATATGATTCTGTAGTAAATATCGTTTGACATTTACTCAGTTCTGTGCATTTACACATCACATTCAATATGGAAAGAGGGATTCCACCCAAAATGAGTAGCAAATAATTTCTGATAAATTCTAATTCATTCCAGGAAAATCATGAACCGCTCATGAACACAGTGCTCTATTTTTCAAAGTCCCATTTTGGAATGTTTTTGGGCACTTTGGTTTCCCTTCTCTTACTGTATTAAAGTATATTAAAGTATTATGAGGGTGTGGCATATCTGCTCATACTCTGGATCTCAGCAGCAGCGGATCCCTGCTCATATTGTAAAGTAACTTTTTTCGGGTTTGTCGCCTATATAGATACTGTCCCTTATCCTTTCCAGTTTACCAGTCGGTTTGCTGCTATGAAATGCAGTAAATGGCCAGTGGTGTTGCTCTCATTTCATTGTCCAGTAGTTTGTTTAGGAAAACACAAAATGATGACATTTTAGGGTCTCCCCGTGAAAGAGGACAATGTTTAAATCAATTATGCAGTAAAGGGTCTGACTGGCCGTAATGGAGACTGGAGAACTATGAAGAGAGCGCTTAACAGATGTGCCACGTCCTTTGTTGTTAAACGCGCTGACATTGTCCAGGGTCCTGCTACATGCAGGAGGCTTTGGCTGCATGTACTGCTGTGTTTTATGTGCTTGTTTGTTTTATATTAAACCACGTACAGAATAATGTGTGTAAAGCTTAATGCTTAAACGTATGACAGCCCTGCTCGAATGCTGCCTGTCTCCTGTGCTCTGTACGGCAGGGGGCTATGCCCCGCAACTCTCCACCGGCCGAGGGGCCCCTGCACAGCCTCCCTCCCCATTCAACGCATTCCTGGTGACGGCGACGCCCGCGGGGGGCTTTGGGGCGCCGCAGGGATACCCCCAGCAGGGGTACGGGACCCCACCTCAGTTTGGTTAGTCGAAGTGTTTTACAAACCTACCTGCTGCTTTGGGTCTGCCCTCAGATACGTGACATCAGAAATTATTGCAAAATGATGCCGTAGCGATTATATGTATGAACTGAAATATTGCTGCTGCCATTCCATGTGTTCTGTACTTTAAGGATGTATCACATTTGATATTAAATAAAATCAGCATCTTCTCATTTAATTTACTGTGGACTGCAAAGATGCCAGGGCTATTGACACGTCGGCCACATTATAAATGCCATCTCTTGAATCAAATTTCATTGTAACTACTTACATTTGTCTGGTTTTGCTGAAGGGTACAGTTTTGGTGTTCCTCAAGGTGACCAGTTTGCCCCACAAGGAGTCCCGCCCCCCCCGACCACCCCAGTGGCTGGCCCTCTGGGGTTTGCCCCCACCAGCACCCCAACTCAGGACCTGAGCAAAGCCCCAGCGGGCCAGCCTGACTTCCCGTACAGTCAGTATGGTAGGTGCCCGCATGGCGCAGTGCTGCCCTCCGTCCTCTGTAGCACCCGCAGGGCGTGACCCAGCCGCTCCTGGAAGCCGAGCGTGATTCGGCCCGATCTGCTCATCCACCCTCAGATGTAGAACTTTGTAATGACCCAGTGCAAGCTGCAGACGTAGCTCAAGCTCTGTGTGTGTTTGAGCTCTGAAGGGGGTGGGAATGTGCTGGACAGACTAGAGAAGTTACCCTAGATCCAGTACTGTCCAGTTTCATTCAGAACTTTTCCAGGTATCTGCTTTTGGGTGATTATGTGGACAGGTAACTAATGGTAACAAGCGGTAGTTATAATTAGATCATCCTTCCTTGCAATGCTGTTTTGGAGGAGAGGGAGAGACTTAAAATAGCTCTGTCTGTAGTTTACTGAAACTGGACTGGAAAGGAAGCTTAAGAAAATTTGTCTTCAATTATGGGGCAGTTTGCTAAATTCTCACCGTTATAAAGTGGTCGGATGCGTCTGCCGTTGTCCAAATAAGTAAATATTAAAATAAAATTAAATAAAATAAATAACCACAACCAGCAAAGATTAGTATTAATAAATGATGGATTTATTAATAACTGGATTAATGTTGTAGATAAATAAATTTTCTTAAGCTGCCTCCTATGATCGTATTTAAACGCCCCTGGCATGGTGCTGCTTGCTGTATTGGGTTGTCCATTCTGTAAATTTGCTGTTCATTCCCTGTGTTTCCTGCGCTCTCATACAATTAGACCTTGAACTGTGCACTTGAGGTTGACTGAGCAGCAGTTTGCCAGCCCCGTGAATCACAGAGCAGTCGCACATCACAGCTCTTTCTGTACAGCGGAGGAGCGCAGATCGGTCGATTTGAGGAAAATCAGCAAGACTTTTTTTCCCCCGACATGCTGCAGAAGGAGGGCTGCCTTTCTCACGGTGGCCTAAGGTTGCCATTCTCACGGTGGCCTAAGGTTGCCTTTCTCACAGTGGCCTAAGGTTGCCATTCTTTACTCCGCCTCCCGCATCTCACCTACGGAAAACGAAGGCCACATCTCGTTTAGTGTGTCATGCTTCCGCTTCACCTTCATCCTGCTCTTCATTGTTAGGCTTGGCTGCCTGAATAGAAATGCATAAGAACGTCTGTGAGCTCAGACGACCGAGGCGGGACTCCGCTCCCATGTGTCATCATGGTCACCGTTACTGAGTGTTAGCGACGAGGGACGCGGCCTCGTGCTGTCAGGCAGAGTAAAGGTTAACGCAGCTGAGGGTGTGCAGTGAGTGAAGTGCTGTGCTAATCTGGCTTTTCAGTAGGACCCTCTCCCATCATGTTTAAAAGTTAAATCTCTGGGTTTAGCCAACCTGGTCTCCTCGTTTCCCTGATAGGCCTGGGTCACTATCCTCAGGACCCCTCTGCCTACGGACCAACGCGTCCTTCTCACAGTTATGGTCAGGATGAGCAGGGATATAGTGCAGGTAGGTGTGAGTATCGCTTTCACAACCACAAAAGTAGATATTTACTATTGATAGTTTCATAAGGCCTCAGTGTTTTTTTTTCCTTCTCGAGTCTCTGTTTTGTGTATGTATGTGTGTGTATATATAAATATGCATATGTGATACAGTATTTATATACATACACATACAGCTATCTGTCTTTTGAAAAAGCTTATTTTCAAGTTCCTAAAAAAAAATGAGTCTATCACAAGGTGTTAAGAAGTGCTACAGAGCGAATGATAGGTTTATGTTTCACTCTTTTTTGGTGCAAGCAATCTTTCATGCCTGTTGAGAATTTTTTAAAGATATCCGAAGGAGGTCACTCTTCTGTGAAGTAGTCACTTGACCGTCTTGTACAGTGAATATTAGCTTCCTCGGGCCTGTCTGCGTCCTCTCTGCATCGCTTTGCATTTAAAAGGATGATCTAATTTTCATTAATGTGCACATTTCCCTCACCTTTTGTTGCATGTTGATTTTTAGAAGTTTATTATTTGTGTGTTTTTTTTTTCCTTTTTTGGTAGTCATTCAGTGTGTAGGACATCCATTATCCACCTGCTCTACGTGCTCCAGATCTCATTGAAGCTCAAGGAGTGGCAATCTGTTGGCTGTTTCTCAGCTCAATCTGCTGCAGACGTTCTATCGCCAAATTCTAATGTTACGATCATGAAACCGTGGTAGCCTTTCTAAGCCAATCAAAGTTTTAAGCCCGTACAAAATACGTGTATTGCTGTTGAATGATGGAAAAAAATAAGAATCTGGTTTTGCACGATGTATCGCAAGAAAGTCCAGGTTCCACCAGCTGCTACTTAGTCAGAAATATTAAAATAAGAGAGTTTGCTAAGCCACTTTTATGGGTTTATGCAAAAACAGAATTTTTGCAACATGGCACATAGCAAATTCTACGGAGTGATCATTCCTCAGTGTGGAATGGACTTTGAGAATGATTCCCTTGTCTGTTTCATGCTAGTTGTTTTAAATGGCGATTGTAAGACGCAGTCCTTAATTGCCAATCTGCTTTTCATCTCAGGCTACAGCCAGGACCTGAGTGGGTTTGGACAGAGCTTCACTGACCCCAGCCAGCCGACAGCCTCATACGGGGCACCTTCAGCACAACCCTCAGCGGGTCCCCCGACCACGGCCAGCAGCTTCGGCCGAGGGCAGAATCACAACGTTCAGGGCTTCCATCCTTATCGACGCTGAGCGCACATAGTGCCGCAATACAAGGTATACACGTCAGGGAAATATACTATATGTAAGGTGACTATGTGCGTTCTGTTCACAGATAAAACTGGATTTAGGTGTTTCTCTGAATGCTCACACAGATAAAACTGGATTTCGGCGTGTTTTTCTGAATGCTCACACTGGCAAAGACACTTAAGTTCAGGGTGTTTCCTTTTTTTTTTTTTTTAAATCACAAATTGATGTTAAATGAACATAGTTTTAAAAATGACAAAAAAAGAAAATATTTGTTGGTCTTTTCCAAAATGTTCGTGGAAGACCGAACTCTTTTGCAATGGATTTTTGACTGTCTGGTCAAACTTCAGCACAGAAAGGATGTACCAGATATAAGGACGACAACAGGGTATCACGGCTCTTTTCAGCTTTAAGTATAGAAAGAAAAGAGGAGAATAACTTAAGCTTTTTTTTTTTCATTTGTGAATTTATTTACATCCAGACCTAGTCAAGAAAATATAAATATAAATATATATTATAAATGAACTGTGCAATTTTTTAAGAGAATTTTGTACTATGAAATGTATGCTTTGTTTTTTTTTTTTTATTTATTTAAAGATGTAGACTTTCCTCAGGTGGCTGTTTAAGTGCATTTGTCACTTTTACAAATAGATATTAAAAGGAACCCCCTTTTTAAAATAAAAAAAGTTTTAAAATATACGACACTTTGTCTTGAATATCTTGCCATCTTCGTCTGCGTTTTTTAATGTTTAGCTGTGATAATGATGTTTTTGTCTTATCAAGTCAGAGTGTTTAAAGACCTTGCATAATGGAGCCATGGACATACAGACCACACAATGCAGTATAATAAGAAGACAGAAAGAAGCCTGGAGATTTAATGAATTTGAGGCTGCAGACTATGTTACACATTTAGATTTCTGGCCAAAGAGTTTTGTCCTTTCGTACCTCTTCCAAACTGCTTTTTCTGAAGCGGATCGTGGTGAATGCGTCAGGAACTTGGACACCCTGATAGATTCAGGGGCCCAGCACTGCATAGGGGGCCCTTGAATATGTAAAATAATAAAATCATATAATGTAAGTGGGACGGTGGCCTTGGGGTGACATTTTGTCAGGAGAACCAAAATGTCTACATACTCAACTGTGGAGAATTCAAGGCTGGGGTACCCCCTGGGTGGGATGCCAAATGTCGCATGGTGACACGCACACACAGTCGATGGTGCTGAAGAGTTTGATACTGAGGGCGAAAGTCATTTAAATTTTCTATTTTTTTGGAGAGGCAAATGAAGCAGAAGACATACAAACTCCACACAGAGGAGCGATGACATTCAGACCCTGCAACCATGGAGGTGTGATGCAGTAACAGTCATTTTGTATTAATGGAAAAAAAGATCATACATTTCTATCACTTTTCCCTGAAATGGGGTGGGAGTTATTTGCAGGAACCAATCTGCAGGATCCATATAGTGTATGGTGTACTTATGACATCTCGTCTGATAATGAGATTATATATGCTGTGATATGATTTTTCCTGCCAGTGCTATTCAGAACCTATTCTGGGATGATCAGGACAGGGTATACTAGGCCATTGTAAAGAAATGTATGGTCACTTTGTCTTTAAACTATAAACAGAAGAAAAAGTATACAAGCAATACCCAAATGAATGCTGGGAGACCATGCAAATTCCACAAATAGAAATGGGCCAGTTTGGACCCTGCAGGCGTGAAGCAACAACGCTACCTGCTGAGCAACCAAAGCACCGCACAAATTATTTCATGAAAAAATATTTGTGCGCCGTGATGGACTGACATGCTGTCCAGACTGCCCCTGTGTTCCCTCCCGTGCTTCTGGGGACAGACTCCAAAATTACTGCTATCATGGAGTGCATAATATCTTGTGCGCACAAGAAATTAGTCAAACTTTAAAGCAATTGTGACCAACCCTGCCCTTGAAGATATATATTTTTATTATTATTACCTTTGTACATTAAATGAACAGTTAATGTTGTGCGCTACACCATAATGAACTCTTTAAAGTACAATGTACTTGATGTGTCTTATATAGTTTTAGTGTTTTTAGCTCATTTACGTATTCCGATGCACACTGAATGTACAGAGTGTAATTAGTAATAATTATATATGCAAATGCATAATCTGAAAATCGAAGGGGTGCACATTGTCCCCCACACTCTACTGTTCGAGGCACACTTCACTAAATGTCTGTCTTATGTTTTATACCTATTATAACACCTATTACACCCTTTGTGCTATGAATGGACACTCAGGGCACCTGACTGTAAGTGAATGTGAACAATGCAGCACTCAAAGATAAATATTCACCCGTACAGAAATCTGGAAACGCCAGATTTGGCTTTAAGTCTTAACGTTGAACCAATATATCGTTACAGCCTAATTTCGTGGCTATTACCAATACTGAACACATAGTTCACACAAGATAAAAAAATACAATTTTCGGAACTTCGCATGCTCCGTAGGTAAGTGAAAAAGATGGATACATGGTCTTTTAACTGGATTTGTCGGTGAATTTACCATGAAGATGCATACTGCCACCTACTGTGTATATTTGAAAAATAAATTTAACATCTGGTCTTTACCTTGTGTTTTATGGGGAATTATTGGGAGACCAGTAATATCATTCCTTCATTCCAAAATATCGTTTCATGTTTATTATTGAAAGTCAGGCGATGCTGTGCAGTTGAAAAGACTTGACGCTAGAAGTACATTTATTAAACCAATACTTGTAAAATAAATCTTCATTATGTGTGAGTAAATGTTCCCCGCGGATACACCAGTTATACTGTGTTGTTTTGGCTTCTTTGTTCCAGTAACCTGCGCAGTCCAAATTCCCTCACAAGTGGACTCTGGACATAAGTCTTTGTCGAGCTTTTTCACAAATGTAAATGTAAATTTAAAGAGTACAATTTAATATTTAGTATATTTGTTAGTTTAACTCATCTCTCAATCTTATTTCCCATGTTCATTTTCTCATCTTAAAACTCCTGCGGCTGCCCCTGCTGGGTAGGACTGGACCAACATAATAAAATTAATTTAAACATGAAAATAACCAAAATAACCATGACCAGGGGTCTGTCAGGATTTCTTGCTTAGCCGGATAACTTGTTGGATTTAAGGTACCTTAGTTTAAATGGACTTCATCTCATTCACTTACATTTTTCACAGACTACCTTAAATTGGACAAGCTATCTGGCTAAGCAAGAAATCCTGTCCTCAGAACCAGGCAATCCAATGTATCCTGAACCGAATCTTGACAACTAATTTTACAATGTGCTTTTATAGCGGGTGATAACATTATTTTTCAAACATTTTTTTCGTGAGCCTCCAATTATCCGTTGAATTCATCGTTCGGCATATGTTCGTCAGCATAAAAATAATTATTTTCTTTTATACAGAAGATGGGCATACACATTCGTTACTGCCATATGTGGAACCCGGAAGTAAATCTCAAACGCTCCCTCTACGTAATAATCCCGCGATATTACCGAGGGTGAAAACGAGATCTGCCTTTTCCGACAAGAGCCTAGCAAGATGGTGAGTGCGATGTTTTTTAGCCGAGTGCAAGCAGTTATAATCCCTTGCCATCGTGCCAATTTGGCCTACATTTCGTCAGTTTAAGCATAATACATGAATGTTAAAGTTTAAGAATATTAGTTAAAGGCATATTTTTGTTTGCTATAATTATTTAATTGATTTGCAGTTAAATTAAGGGTTGCAAATATCACGTTTGCCAACTGGTTAGCAAATTTTATATATCGCTAGATATGAATCTAACGTATAATGTTTTAAAAATCTGAATGGAAATGACTCTGTTTTGGAAATGTGGCTTTTCAGTACACGTCAACATTAATGTGCATAGAAAGACATAAATGGTGGCTAGTGCCTTAGGTATTATGATTATCGGTGGGAAGAGTAAATGTTCCATTTGTCTCTCCGGAATTATTAATGATGGTAATAGTTTACGAATAATTATGGAAGCTACAGATTTTCATTGTACGCGTACAAATGCAATAAGTATTTCCTGTTTCGTTGCGCAAACTGACCTGGTACGTTTGGATGACCGTATGGTTAGCAGTTGTATACAAGCTAATGGCATCCACACCGGCCCGATTCACGTCGTGCGGAAAAAGTGCAGATAGGGCTGATGACTCGTTCGTCGTTTCATCGGGCTCTTGGCCCGCTGTTTACCAGCTCCAGTGATTTTGAAAAGCTGTTTAACATCATTTTAAATTATTTGTTAACGTTTCAGGCGGATGTTGAACAGAAGAAGAAGCGCACCTTTAGGAAATTCACCTACAGAGGTGTCGACTTGGACCAGCTGTTGGACATGTCCTAGTAAGTGACTACTTTGTCTGTTAGCGCATCCATATGTTTTACTGGTGCATCATTATGATTTTTGCATTTGCTTGCTGATGTGTACGGTGTCAGTGGTCGTTTGCGTGCTGAACTAGCCAATGGAAATGTAAGGGATGCTGTCAGTTCAAGGCATTGCCATAATTATCTTAAACAGGAAACCAATTGGCAAAACTAGGTCAATATTATCTCTGTATTTAGGACCTTTAAAGAAGGGACTTGCTAGAATCAGTGTTTATTGGAATTGACAAATTCCAATTCCTTGAAAAGAGCACATATGAACGTAACATTGTCATATTATCATGTTGACTGTCCATTTGTTTTAAGAGGTTGAAAATTGTTCTGTGTTTATTGAATTGCTTTTCACAAAAGCAGAAGTATCTGCTGCCCGTTTATGGATGTGTGTGAACTGTGTACCTTCCCCAGTGAGCAGCTAATGCAGCTGTACTGTGCCCGTCAGCGGCGGAGGCTGAACCGCGGCCTGCGGCGCAAGCAGCAGTCCCTGCTGAAGAGGCTGCGTAAGGCCAAGAAGGAGGCCCCTCCCATGGAGAAGCCCGAGGTGGTGAAGACTCACCTGAGAGACATGGTCATCCTGCCCGAGATGGTGGGCTCCATGGTCGGCGTGTACAACGGCAAGACCTTCAACCAGGTGGAAATTAAGGTGAGGCGTTTAACCGTGTAGCAGACTGGGTGCCTGCAAATTGCTCCAGTACCTTTACTGTAAGTGAAGATGAATGTCAGGCTGTAATTAGGGAGGCCCACAGTTAATACATGTGTGTTGTATGACATTAACTTAGAAGTTGTATAAGTGGTATGGTGGCTCTCCATTTATGTAGGCACACAAATGTAGATGTGTGAAATTATTTTCACTAGTGTAGTATTGGGAACACTTATGAACAAAAAGCACATGTGAAGTAATACCACACCGAAGCAGCCAGACACCGCATGGGTGAGAAAAAATCACAGTAACAGGCATCACAATAAGTAACAAACGGCCATGGTCTTTTACGTGCCACTTGGGCACTCCCAAGTACCACTTGGTGGAATGCATACTGCAGTTTAACTACAAAGCTAGAATGTATGTCGCTCCATTGGAAAAAGCACCGGATAGCTTTGCTGGGTTGCTGCACTCTGTCCATGAAACTTGCCAATGTGTTTGTTTGTGGCTCCATTCAGGCAGGACATGATTCCCTTGAAGTATAATTTTTAAGACTTTCAGGGGAGATACCATAGAACACAGGTGTCAGACTCCAGTTCTGGGGGGCTGGAGCCCTGCACATTTTTGGGTTTCCCCTCATTTAACACACCTGATTCAACTCCTTGTGCTAATTACCACACAGCTCTTGAGCTGAATCATTTGTGGTGGAACAGGGAAAGAACTAAGGTACACAGGGCTTCGGGCCCCCAGAACTGCAGTTTGACACCCTGCCTTAGAGCTTCCAGTCTGTCTCAAATGTTTGCAAAAGTAAGGATGGCAAAATCACAGTATAGCTGGAAACCTCTGGTAAATCAGTGCATCTTAATGGATCTTTTTTCTTTGGTAACATTGGTTAGTAAGTCCTGTGAATTTCTCCTGTGGATCAAATAAGTATCTTGTATGTTAATGTTTCTTACACAAGTGAGTGTACTTACATGAGTGTAACACTGATAAAATGACCACATTACCATGCAAATACTATTGAACTAGACTGTATTTGCCTATAAGCTGCTGTTCACTGTAAAAAGGTTTATTAGGAAATGCTTATTTTTAGTATCTTAAAACTGGTTGGTGATGGAATGAATTGTGGTGGGTACTGATTGACGTGTATCTGTTTGCAGCCGGAGATGATTGGCCACTACCTTGGGGAGTTTTCCATCACGTACAAGCCCGTGAAGCACGGCCGGCCTGGCATTGGAGCCACTCACTCCTCTCGCTTCATTCCTCTGAAGTAATTGTCACAATTTACGGCTGTAAATAAAGTGGACATCCAATTGGTGTCTGGCATTTTTTTGTCCATTTCTTTTCATTAACACAGGAACAATAAAATTGACTAAATGTTTAGGATTGATGAGCAGAGTGTTGAAATTGCTTTTTAGCTTGTCACTCCAGAATTGTAGCAAGCATATTATCTGTTTACCATTTACATATTCTTCAATTTTACGTAATGTTTTTGAATCTACAAAAATCCCAGATCATTTATTACAGGACCACTTTTCAGTTTTTTCCCCCAGTTTCAGATGCTTTTGAAATTTCATTAACTTAAGATGGTACATAAAAGCCCTCTTTCCAAATACTGGTTCTGGTATTATAAAAATGGCACCTTTGCGTAATATGCAAACTCTACAAAGGCTGTGGAGGTAAGAATTGAACCCTTATCACACTGAACCAGTCATCCCAGTTAGTACCACAGTAAATACTGAAGTCCAGCAGAATTAGGCTTGTGCAGACCTAAATCTCACCCTGAATTTTAAAAATGTCGAATTTATCTGTTCAGGCACGAAGAAATACGGTTACGTTATTCATTTTTCAAAACCGAAGTGATTATTTTGGACAACGTTACGTTATTTTTAAAGGGTCAGAGCTAGCCTGACTACCTTTTATTACACTAATACACTTACAGTATTTCCTATACGAGAGCCCTGCATTATTCCTTCCGGGTCAAAGGCCATTGTAATTGATTGGCTGTTCCCGCCCCTGCTTCCGCTTTTGCTGTACTGACTCCTTCTGTCTGTATACTAGGCCATGGACGTCATCTTAAACATCCAGCGCTATTCTTTTTAATGTAAAAAGATTTACAAGTGGCCAGAGAGAAAAGAGGGGCAGGATCTGGATCTGTAAGTACCTCATAAACCAGGCAGCAGTTAGTCATATTGGTACGGACTCAGAAACCTGTAAGACTTTATGTGGCTAGCTAGCTGTATGAAACCCCATAAGGACTCACAATGACTTGAATTTTTTTCTGTTAATGTTATGGCTTTTGTTATTCTTGGTTTGGCTTTTAATGTCTTCTGTTCCAAAAATTTTCTAACGAGTAAACCACAGTTAGTGTAGCTTGCAGTTTATGTGCTTGGTTTACGTAAAACGCCCCTTAAGTTGACCCTCGGAATCAAAAACCGATGTGTACAGGAAAATGAGCATTAGTTGAATTACATCCTAACATTAATTATTGCCACTAACATCGAAGTAACAGGGTAAATAAGGTTAGTAGAATGAAATGAGCAGCTGTCTTCAACATCGAAGTTTCGTTTTTTTGAAAGAAATTAATATAAGTAAATAAAATCAGAATGTCAGCCATGTCAACATGAACAGAAATTTATTTTCCCTTCAATGTATATTTAAAGTTTGGGCTGATTTATCAGTAAACGGTAGCCCATTTTTACACCCGGGTTGCTTACTTTGGACCGTCGGCCTACTGATCTCCGATACGAAACACCCGGCTTGAGTCCCTTTGGCGCTGTATCAGCCGAGGCGGTCACGAATATAGAACAGATACACCAACCTGACCTTCCGTTATTTGAAAGAAATCTACAGCTGCTTTCTTACGTCTTGGTTGTTGGATAAACGTTAATTTATGTAATGACACGTCAGAATAGCAGAATGTAAACATATCCTTTTGTTTATGACTCAACATTTACTATGGGTAGGGGTACGGTTATTTCTGATCTTGGATTGAAACTGCTTCCCATCTTTTAAATATGTTTTATAATTGTATGTAAATGTTATCTTTGGATTTTATGGCCAACCAGTTCTGGTTATTTTAAAGTGATTACTACTGAAATATAATTTTTAAAGCAAAGTAATGCGCCATATTATTATGACATCTATTTAGGTTAATTGTGGTACTAATGTGGCTTTAATAACAGTCTTCAAACGTATAAAACATTGTAAAATTATCTTCTGGTACCTTCCCCTTAAGTTGTTGTAGTTTAATATAGCATAGTGAGACATTATCGTGTGTCCTGAATATGTCCTTTTCTTTTTTTTTTGCGCTTTAGCTCAATTATGACCAGCACTACAAAACTGTAAGATTTTGCAGTGCGGCTGTAACCGCACACGTGTTCTCCGTGTACCGGTTGCTTACGTCATTTTCGGTTCGATACGCGCAATGAAACGAATGAATACAGTTACCGACATGGGCGGAACCTAAATGCGTAAGTAGGTGTTCGACACGGAGCGCACCACGCTAACTGTGGCTGTGAGCTGGTCACAGGTAGTCATAGCGGCGAGCGAGAAACCTTCCCCGTCACTTATCGATAAATTATACCAACACCAAGCAGGTTATACCGAACTACGATATGTGGCTGTGAGCACATCCAGTATGCTAACTCATTTGGAACGACATCATCCCAGTGTTGGAGACCGGAGCAAGACAGAAACAGCCCTGCAAGTTAGTCTCCCCGTGACATGTAAGGCACGTTTGCCAGTAAATTCAGGCTAAGAAATATTTAAGGCTGTAGGGGTGTTTATCACTAAAACATCGACAGACACATTATCTTTTGTTTGGTTTACAACAATTTTATAACTCTGCTTGGCTTTTAATAAAAAAAAATACTTAAAACAAGTTTTTGCTAAACTGAAAACCGTGGTTTAAGAACCGAAAAATGTGTGACGTTACACTGCATCTTGTATTAACAGAAAATCATCACAAGGATGCTGTGTTTCAGCTGCAATATTAACATTTCATTAAAAAAAATCTTGAATTGTTCCTTATTTTATACCATTATGGAAAAATAATTCCTTAATGATAGTCATCCCTCTCCTGCAACATAAGACTAGTGCAGCCTATCAGATAGTAGCATCTGCCCCCTGCCTCTTCATCTGCTCCAGAGGGCACACAGTTCACTTGATTCCCCTCCTGAATGGGGCACCCAGCTTTCCCACCCTGCAAGTGGAGCTGGGATCTCTGGGCAGCATCACTATAGACTGCTAATGTGGTGCTTTGAGGGACAAATCTGGGTCCTGAGTCTGGAGTGACAGCTTAAGAATTCAGAGCTTGTTCAAAGCTTATTTATTCAATATGAACGTCTGACTGGTTATTTAAAGGAAGCAGAGGTGACATTCGCTTCTCTAAAGATGTAAAACTTTTGTCATGTTCCGCCAGCTGTTTTTTGGTGGGGGTGTCACTGAGATCTCAGATGACACCCTACTGCTCCCTCAGCCTGCTGTCTTAGTTTCTTTTTGGAGACATTAAAAAAATGTGGCTCCAGTTTTCAGTGATGTATTTTTGCAACTAGGTGATTGCCACACTTTAGCACAAATGTTACTGTATTACTCAGCTTTTATAAGCAGGAAATTTTGCCTTTAAATCCTGTATCTGGGGTTAATAATTTTTGTTAAATAAATGTTCATTTATTGCAGGGCTGCCCAGCTCCAGTCCTGAAGGGCCAGTGCCCTGCACATTTTTTTGGTTTCCCCTCATTTAACACACCTGATTCAACTCCTTGTGCTAATTACCACACAGCCCTTCAGCTGAATCATTTACAGTGGAACTAAGAACTAAGGTACACAGGGCTCCGGCCCCCCAGGACTGGAGTTGGGCAGCCCTGACTTATAGAATTTCATTACATTTTCCATATCTAGCATCTAGTAAATGCCACTCTGTGGTATAATTGACTTAATAGGGTGTAATTAATAATGAGTGTGCCTGAGAAAATTTCTGCAAAATTTGAAGTTGAAATGTATGAAGAGCAGAACATTCCTCATGCCTGCAGCATATTCTGGGGTGGGGCCCCAAGGAATGTAATACAGCACAACTGTGTCAAACAGAAGGACTGAGACCAGTGGCCTGTACTACGAAGTGAGGTTACTGGCTTATCAGGATAACTTGTCGGATTTAAGGTACCACACTTTAAATGGACTTCATATTCGTTCACTTCCATTTTGCCCGGACTACCTTAAATCCGACGCGTTACTCCAATAAGCCAGTAACCCCGCTTCGTAGTACAGGCCACAGCACTGGAGACAGCTTATCCATGAGTTCGTCCCTCCATTATAACTCGGTGAGGAATTTCCTCAGGAGCATCTCCTTGGTACAAAATCCTGAAACATATTGTCCTTTAATGGAGTTATTTCTTGTTCTCGATTCGGAACTGATTTGAAGCAAGTGGCTTCATGATTTGCGTTAAAGTAGCATTTGAGTGTTTTGAATGTGAAGGCATCGTGTCAAGGTTTCGTTAAAACAGGTTTGCTCTGTGGGTTGATGATGATGATGTTGAGATGCTGTGGAAATCGGCACCAGTGCAGTTTTTTTGCTTTGAGTTCTATCTGAATTATCCTTCCATTAGGAAGTTGCTTACAGACATGCTACTGATAGACTTGTTCGTAACACTCGTGTTTCTAGGATATGAAAAAAATATTTAGTTAAAGTGTTATTCTCTGTGAACACCGAGGTGTGCAATGGCCAGTACACAAAATCTGTACTTTTTGTGGGACAGACTCTGTTCCAATGGTCTTGTGCTGCTGTTTTTTGTAGGTTACCGTATCTGGCTGAGGGTTGTAGGCCGGTTAATGCATAGAGTAAAGAAGGTTAAACTTGAAGACGAAACTGAAGGTAGTCGGAAAAGGTACGGTGAATATCATTACTGTTTGGGGGGAAATGCTTCTTATTATCAGGAGTAATATCCAGGGATATGTGTTTTATTCCACAGATTGGCCTGGAAGCATTGATCTTAAGGTAGCACAGTATCACCCACTTTTTACCACACAAGTAGACACTTACTCCATTGAATGGAAGGAGACTTACTCCTGATCTCCTTTCGTTGGAGTGTTCAGTTTGGCAGCTGTCAGGATGACCGCAGTGGACGAGCTCTCAGACAGCACTGAGGTGGTGGAGATGGAGGACGCCCCCAGCCAGTTCTTTGTGGAGAAGCACTCGTGGGACGGCCTGCGGGACATCATCCACAGCAGCCGCAAGTACTCAGGGATGATCGTCAACAAGGCGCCACACGACTTCCAGTTTGTACAGAAGAGAGATGAGTCGGGCCCCCACTCTCATCGGCTCTACTACCTCGGTGAGCTCGTTCGCCTGCATTCACCGCACAGAATGACCTGCGTCAGACATTACAGGAGTAGCTGGGGGTCAGTCTGACCCCAGTGCTCATGGTGGGCCTTCTGAGTATGCCATTTCCTTTAGATATTGGGTGTTTGCATTGATATTTTCTATTTGTACAAAGAAAAATGTTTGATGATTAAAATGTATATATAAATGTAAACAGGGCTAATTTCTATCCCCATTTTTAGAGTAGGGCTGTCAAGCTTGATGGTAGCAGTAATTGAGCTCTTGACTGAATAACGTTGAGTAACAAATTAAAAATGTTAAACTGAGAAAATATAATCAGATTTCCTTTAACTTTTCTTCGAGGTTATAGCAAATTTTTTTTGGTCTAAAAGTAGTGAAATGCTGAAGACTGTAAACTTAGTTATTGGTAATTTGAATTAACATGAAAGCAGTTGGGTAACAACCTAGTGTTAATTGGGCTTGTCTTGTGTTGCCTTTAGGAATGCCCTATGGGAGCAGGGAAAATTCACTACTTTACTCTGAAATTCCTAAGAAGATCAGAAAAGAGGCTCTCTTGGTGCTGTCCTGGAAACAGATGCTGGATCACTTTCAGGTAACCCTCTCGGGAGCAATGCAGCCCAGTGGCTGCTGGAGATTGTAGGAAGCTCTTTTGATGTATAGATGGCACCGTGTTGACTGATCCATCCAGATCTGGTGTTGTGTCCTCGAGTTTCACAGTTTTGCCGTACGCCTACCACTTCTTTCCAGCGGGTGGCCACTGTTTGTTGCACTGCAGGCATTTAGGTGCTTCACTGCATAGAACCTCTGATACCAAATGAAAAATAACAGGTATTGCCAGTGCTTCCTGCGGATAAAGAAGCTGAATTCCGTAATGCGTGCAGGGGGGCGGGAATCTGGCTTCCCAGGCGAGTCACCAAGGCATTGGATTAGATTCGAAGAAACGCTGACAGCGGAAAGACAGATTCTTATAAAACGGGAAGCTTGTGCCTCTAGCCAGCATCTATGCAGGAAGGTCTTCAGGCTCCATGGACACTCTGCTGAAACCTCACACTGCACTTACTGGCAGTGTCCTGCAAAGCGATGTCAGTTGATTTATGTTGAAAACAATTTGTTTTGATGGGTTTCTCAGTTTTACTGTAGTAGAAACAGGTGTAACATTAATTTGTATCTTGGGTCATTTGTTGCAGCGAGAGCGTTGAAAAATATCCTGGTCCATCCCTTGAGCAGTAAGAGCCTTGCGCTTGTTTGCTCAGAATGCTGATGGCTTTCCTCTTCCTGCCAGGCGACGCCGCATCATGGTGTCTATTCAAGAGAGGAAGAGCTTCTGCGAGAAAGGAAGAGGCTGGGCGTTTTTGGGATAACGTCTTACGACCACCATGCAGAGAGTGGGCTTTTCCTCTTCCAGGCCAGCAACAGCCTTTTCTACTGCCGTGATGGCGGACATAATGGCTTTATTGTGAGTAAAGGGCAGTAGTGAATCGTGACCTTTTCCTCCAAGATCGGCTGGGTGTGTCCGGCCGGTCTTTGACAGTCGTGCTGCGGGACCAGCAAAACCAACCCAACGTTGGTTTTTGTCGTTTAGCAGGGATCCCCAATGAAGCCAGTGGAGATAAAGACTCAGTGCTCAGGGACGCGGATGGACCCCAAAATCTGTCCAGGGGATCCAAGCTTCATAGCCTTCATCAACAGCAATGACCTATGGGTGGCCAACATCGAGTCAGGGGAGGAGAAAAGGCTCACCTTCTGTCATCAAGGTGGGCTGGCTGGCAGACATGCTGAAGGGTCACTTTCATGGGCGTAACATACCTGCCTCTGCCTGTCAGTGTGTATCAGTGTATCTAAAACTATGGCCATGTGTGAAACAGGGAATATGTGAAAGTGTTTCACTGCACTGTGGTCATTGCATATTTAGTTCTTTGTGCTTATTCTGGTAGAAACCCGTTTTCTGCTCAGAAGCAATGAAAGAAGTGTTTTTTTTCCAGGTTTGAACATATCAGTCGTAGGTGGCCATGTCATTCTTATAAATCTGTCATAAAAAGTATTCTCTGCTTTGTCTCAGTACTTTGAATTGTAAACCCACAATGGGTCACGTCATTGTCATTGCTTATGGGTTTGCATAAGAAAGTAGGAAACTGACATGCACGTTATTTTCTTTCTGTAGGTCTGAATAATGTAAAGAATGACCCAAAGTCTGCAGGTGTGGCCACATTTGTGATCCAGGAGGAGTTTGACCGCTTCACTGGGTACTGGTGGTGTCCAGCTGCCCCTGAAGGTGAGACTGAGTGACGTAAGCTGTCAGACCAAAGGTAGCAAGCAGAGAATCAGAACCGCAATGTTTTTTTTTTCATTTTTTAATACACAGCCTACTGTGAACTCTTTTTGGTGTATTGAAAATGGTATTTTTTCCCCCCAAGGATTTTCAGTTTTTCATTAGATTGTGTGCATAAAAATTAGACTACAGGCAGGTTTCCATTCTGTAGAAAGCTGGAATTTAATGGGTGACCTTGATGCCTTTGCTGGTCAGACTCGGACAGGGGCAGAACTCTGCAGCTGTTGTACGAGGAGGTGGACGAGTCTGAGGTGGAGATCATCCACGTGCCATCACCGGCCCTGGAGGAACGCAAGGCAGATGCTTACAGATACCCTCGCACTGGTGAGGCCGGCCGGCCGTGGGGATGGTTATTGTTGATCTTTTGAGGTGGTAATTTTTTGTTAGATTCAGAAATTGTGTTGTATAATTAGGTGTGACCCACCCAACAGTTGGAGGTTTACAAATACATTGAGACCATAAGGTGGGTTGCTGAATGATTTTGATTGACAAGCCCTTTGCCATGCCATAGCAAACTGGAGAAACTCAGCTGGGTTGGACGCATCTAATCAGTCATTTGAGGACTAAAGTTTTGTTGTGTTGGACTTTTTACAGAATGTGTTTAACTGTATTGGTCCTTTGAAAGTTCTGCTGGTAATTAATGCTAGAATGTATCATGTTGCTGATCTGTGGTATTCTGTTTGTCGGCCAACCCAAAAGTGTTAAGGAGTGAAACGTGAAGGGAATCGGGGTGACCTGATACCCTGGTCAGATTCTGGGCTTCAGCATCTATGTTTTCAGAATATAGCAACTCATAGGAACCATCTGATTATTTATAACCAACAATGTATAAATTGATTATTTTCTTTCCTTCTCTTTAGGCAGTAAAAATCCCCAAATCACCCTCAAACTGGCAGAGATAAAAACTGACCATCTTGGTAGGGTATGTGTGTTTTTCTTGCTTTTACGGTGACATTGCACGGCAGTGAATGAAGAGATCTCTTTATGTAGACTGAGAGTGTTTCAGTGTTGACCCCGTCTTTCCTGCGTGCTCAGATCGTGAGGACTCAGGACAAAGAGCTGGTCCTGCCCTTCACTACGCTGTTTCCTGGTGTGGAGTACATTGCCCGGGCTGGCTGGACCAGAGATGGAAAATTGTGAGTCCTGATTTAAAAAAACAAAACCCTCTAAACAAACAGCCAAGGAAGAATCTCTCAGTACTCAGTAAAAGCATTTTATTCCCTGAGGTAGTAGAACCTGGCACTGTTGGTCCTGATTTTAGGACGTGCCGAAGTCACGTTTGCAAATCCATTCTCTGCGTATCTCCCAGTTATGACTTTAAAAGCCATTTTTAATTCATGGAGGGCATGTCGTGGCGTGATGGTGTTGACGTCAAACAATCTGCTGGTGACTGTGACTCATCCGCTGTATGTTTCCCTGACTTTATGGGGATGTTTTCAGGAGTACTGTCTCAAAGACGATTATAAACCCTATAAAACAGTGCATTGCGGGACACTTCCGTCAGGTGTAAATGTCACCCTCGCTTCGTGGTGCACTATATTGATTTTGTTAGAGATTTTTTAGGGTTAGTTGTGCATTCTGTTCAAATGAGTCCCTGCTGTGAGTTACGCCGTTGTGAGTCACACCGCCTGGTACCACCCATGCAGTGCCTGGGCTGTCCTCCTCGATCGGAGCCAGCAGAGGCTGCAGTTGGTTCTGCTGCCCCCTGCGCTCTTCATTCCTGTCACAGACGAGCCCATTCAGCGCCAGGAGAAAGTTGAGGCAGTCCCTGACAGCGTCCACCCCTTCGTTATCTACGAGGAGGTCACTGACATCTGGATCAATGTGAGGTTCCAAGCACCTTCAGATTTGTCAATGTGCCATGTCACTCTTTTTCAGAGAGCAGGCTGACAGACTTTTGGAAAAGGAGTCAAATGCAGGTTTGATGTCAAGCCCTAGATGGGGGCCAAAAGCATTTCCCCCACAGCAGAGTGCTTGCATCCAGCTGTGTAGATGGGCAAGATGGTTTTTAATAAAAATAACTGTCAGTTACTCTGGAGTTTTCAAAGCACCGTATGTCTGAGTGTCAATTTCAGTATCATCAGAGTGAGTTTCTCTTTTTTTCTGAATTAGTAATCGAAGCTTGATATTGATTCATGCTCATCTGTTGGTTACTGTGTTGTCCGCAGGTTCATGACATTTTCTACCCATTTATCCAAACGAAAGACGATGAGATTACCTTTCTCTGGGTGAATGAGTCCAAAACGGGCTTCTGTCATCTATACAGAATCACATCTGTGTTACAGCCTGGCTGCTACCAGTGGTCCAGATGTTACACACACACTGAGGGTAAGACATGCCTTTGGATTTGTCGTCGGTCACTCAGCTCCTGTATGCACTCTCGATTCAGAAATATCAACCTAAACCACTGCTATTTCTGTTCTGGTCAATTTTGTCTTCACATTTTGTAGATACATGTATCAGATTAATGGATCTAATCCAATTGGAAAACTTTGCCAACAGAGCCAAAATAGAGTGATAGAGTGATTGTGTTTTCACATGTCACGGGTGCTTTGCTCCAGGCGATTTTAAGTGCTCGATAAAGGAGGAGCTGACCCTGACCAGTGGGGAGTGGGAGGTGCTGGCCCGTCATGGCTCGAAGGTAAGATCAAGGCTGGGCACGTCACACGGGGACCTCCGCAGGTCCAAGGTCAGAAGACAGTGTTCTATCTTTGTTTCTCTCATCTGAGTATTTCCACAGCTCGTCTCATGTCAGTCTGTGGTGTCCGTCTCATGTGCAGATATGGGTCGACGAAGCCACCAAGCTGGCATACTTCCAGGGCACAAAGGACACTCCTCTGGAGCACCACCTGTATATGGTCAGCTACAGCTCCCCAGGCGACGTCGTGAGACTCACCAAGCCTGGCTTCTCGCACACCTGTTCCATAAGTCCGGTATGACCTCCTACTGGGGACCGTGTACAAATGCCTTAATGCTGTTGTCTGTTGTGGACTCGTGCTGAGCCGAGTTGTCTAGTTAGATGGCTTTAAGTGAAGCACTGCGCTCTCTCCCTTTTTTTTCGGCAGAACTTCGACATGTTCATCAGCCATTACAGCAACGTGAGCACTCCCCCATGTGTTCACGTCTACAAACTCTTGGGCCCCGACAGTGACCCCTTGCACAAGCAGCCTGAGTTCTGGGCCAGCATGATGGAAGCCTCAAGTAGGTGTCCAGTCTAGCCTGGCTTCACCTAGGTGCACGTGGAAGACGAAAGCGAGTCACAAGACACCATGAAATAAGGACCCACATGTTGTAACACCGTCAATTTATCTGTGATCTTCTGTCTCTTCATTAGTTTGCCCTTCAGATTACATACCGCCAGAGATTTTTGATTTCCCGGGAAAATCTGGCTTCCAGTTGTACGGAATGGTGTTCAAGCCTCACAACTTGATGCCTCACAAGAAACATCCTACAATCCTCTTTGTATACGGAGGACCTCAGGTGCGCAGAATTCCTTCATGGTTAATTTTTTATTTTTTTTGGTATACGTAGAGGAAACTGCTTTAGACTTTAAAATATCCTACAGCTTCTTAGTTTTTAAACAGGCCTGATGATTTGTGTCTGTTTAAGGACTTACTATAAGGACTTACTATAAGGACTTACTATGTTATACTTGTTCTATAATGTTAACTCTAAAATTACAAATCGTCTTTCATAAACCTTAGCAAGCTGGAAGCTAAATGATTTGATGCAGTTATTAGAGGAGCCAAAAATATGGTCCATTGGGTCGTATCTTGCGGTTCCCCACAGGTTCAGCTGGTGAATAACTCCTTTAAGGGAGTCAAGTATTTGCGGTTGAACACGCTGGCATCCTTGGGCTACGCAGTGGTGGTCATCGATGGCAGGGGCTCCTGTCAGAGGGGCTTGAAGTTTGAAGGGGCTCTGAAGAACAGGATGGTGAGGAGGTCCCTCCCCAGTTAGGAATCCCTCAGCAAGCTTGGTTCATGTTCATTTTTTTTTTTTGGTTCACGTTCACTTTTTTTCTTCTCATTTTTGTGCCTCCAGGGCCAGGTGGAGATCGAGGACCAGGTGGAAGGTCTTCAGTTTGTCGCAGAGAAGTACAGTTTTGTGGACCTCAGCCGTGTGGCCATCCATGGCTGGTCTTACGGGGGCTTCCTGTCCCTCATGGGTCTCATTCACAGGCCCAACATCTTCAAGGTGTGTTTGTCTCTCATCTCATCTCTTATTTAGCAGGTGCCATTATCCAAAGTGAGAGAGCAGAGTCAGTCAGTCCATGGGGCGGTTGGGGTTAAGCGCCCAGCTGAAATCACTTTCCCAGATATGGGATTTGAACCGGCAACCTTTTTATCATAGGCACAGTGTCCTTACCGAAGGGTTCCCAAACTTTTCAGCGCGCAACCCCCAAAATAACGACGCCAGACTCGCGACCCCTGTTTTTCCGACCGGCTAGTTCAGGCTACGATCACTATGGAAGTTTTCTATGTTTTTGAATTTTCATAAACACAACCCTAACCAGCA